AGAGGTGTCTGAATTGTGGAATGGAAACCTGACGATCTGTATTGTACAGTTTCATCCAAGTCACAATATAAGTGGTTTTTTTATGCATGTAATATTTATTCATTTACTAAATCTCATACTTTTGATGAAATACTACGTTATTATTCCTTTGCTTTCATTATGTCAGTAAATAAACATATAACGTAAAGAGAAAAAGTGCCAAACAATCAGGTCATTCGTTTCAGCTTTGTGTTACTTTGTCCCAACTTCCCACAAGATATTGAGTGAATTCTGCAAATCCTGGACGTGTTCAAAGACCCAAAAAGATTGTCAGAGCAATTGCTGTAAGTTCAACAGTCGTGGAAAGGGGGAAATGCCTAACCATTTCTAATCTATCAAACACAATGACTATTGTCTAATTGGCCTACCTGTAAAGGAATGGGATCCTACTCCTACAGTGAAAATATGATTAAGGATAAGTCACAGCCAATGATGCTCAGATGAAAGCAAAGAATATTGTATGCGAGGACTCCCATCAAGAAGCAAAAGGAAATGGGAATAGAGACACCAAGAGGGTAGGGGGACGTGGGGGAGAGGCGGGGAGGGAAGGGAGCACCAACCGCAATGAACGGCACAAAGCACACACCCCCATCCAGGGGGAAGAACAACAGGAACCAGAGGGGAAGGGAGATGGCGGTTGGAGTGAGATTTGAAAATAATTAACAATCTACAATCTATCAGGGGGCTATGAGGGCTGGGGGGGAGGGAAAAGGAGGAACGGATCCCAAAGGCTCAATGGAAAGTAAATGTCTAGAAATGAACAATGGAATATATGTACGAATATGTCGGATACAATTGATGTATGGTTTGTAACAAGAGTTGTAAGAGCCCCTAATAAAATGATTAAAAAGAAGCAGCATCAAAACAAACAAATGTATAAACAAACAAACAAACAAAACATATTGTTGAGAACAAGAGGGGTCGGAGCAAAGACCCCAAACCCATCTGTAGACAATGGGACATCCCCTTACATCCCCTCGCAGAAGGGTCACAAGGAAGAAATGAGTCAACCAGGGTGCAGTGTAGCACCGATGAAAAACACAATGTACCTCTGGTTCCTTGAGGTTTCCTCACCCCCACTATCATGACCCCAGTCCTTCCTTTCACTGTGGACTAGACAGGAGCATGTACACGGGTACAGATAAGAGATAACAGCTCACAACACACATGGAATCCAGAACAACAGAATGGGAGCAGTGATACCAGGAGGGTATGGGGAAGGTAGAGAGAGGAAAAGAGGAAGAGGGAACTGATCACAATGATCAACACATAACCATGGGGGAAGGGAGACAGCAGTCGGTGTAAGATATGGAAATAATAATCATTTATAATCTATCAAGGGTTCATGAGGGTGAGAGTGTGGTGGGGGAGGGAAAAAAGAGGAGCTCATACTAAGGGCTCAATAGAAAGTAAATGTTTAGAAAATAATGATGGTAACATATGTACAAATATGCTTGATATAATTCACATATGGATTATTATAACAGCTGTAAGAGCCCCCAATAAAATGATCTTTTAATAAGAAAAAAAGCAAAATAGAAACATCTAAACAGTTTTATTGTTTTTTGCTAGGTATTATTTAATATTTTTCTTTTTTATCGTTTTATTAGGGGCTCATACAACTCTTATCACAATCCATACATACATCAATTGTGTAAAGCACATTTGTACATTCATTGCCCTCATCATCTCAAAACATTTGCTCTCCACCTAAGCCCCTGACATCAGCTCATTTTCCCCCTCCCTCCTGGGCCCTTGATAATTTATAAATTATTATTTTGTCATGTTTTGCCCTGTCTGACGTCTCCCTTCACCCACTTTTCTGTTGTCCATCCCCCAGGGAGGAGGTTATATGTAGATCCTTGTAATTGGTTCCCCCTTTCCAACCCACCCTCCCTCCACCCTCCCAGTATCGCCACTCTCACCACTGGTCCTGAAGGGACCATCTACCTGGATTCTCTGTGTTTCCGGTTCCTATCTGTACCAGTGTACATGCTCTGGTCTAGCCAGACTTGTAAGGTAGAATTGGGATCATGGTAGTGGAAGGGGGTAGGAAGCATTTAGGAACTAGAGGAAAGTTGTATGTTTCATTGTTGCTACATTGCACCCTGACTGGCGGCTCATCTCCCCAAGACCCTTCTGTAAGGGGATGTCCAGTGGCCTACAAATGGGCTTTGGGTCTCCACTCCTCACTTCTCCTCATTCACAATGATGTGATTTTTTTGGTCTGGTGATCCTTGATACCTGATCCCTTCGACACCTCGTGATTACACAGGCTGGTGGGCTTTGTTGCTTCTGAGCTAGATTAGATGGCTGCTTGTTTACCTAAAACTCTTTCTTATAATCTAGTTTTGCGCACCACTTTTATTGTTCTTACCTAACTATTAACTACGAAATAATCAACTACCTTTTGGTAAATCTTTTTTTTTTTTTTTTGATAAATCATTTTTAGTGTTCATTAGGGCAGAGAAGTGGTTGTTAAATTACTTGCATCCCACCACTGGGTTGAATTAATTATACAAAAGGTATTATTACTTTATATGTTTTGGAGGTGAAACACTTTAAGAATTTTAATGAGATACGTGATTTTTTTTTTTAGTTAGCAATATGACTCTTCCAGTGCCCCAAGCCCACCACCCAGAACCTGATCAGGTGGAGCCCGTCCAGGCCTGCAATGCTGCCCTCCTCCCCCAGGGGGCACCCAGCACCTCGTTGCTGACGGTGGAGTCTCGGTGAAGCATCCCATGCAAGTGGCTGTCCAGGCTGGCCCCCGACGAGCACTTGGCCAGGGCAGCTGCATGGGACTCCCGCTCTCTCTGCCGCACGATGGCCTCACAGCCCAGCCACTCTGACATGGTTTGCGCATAGCAAGCATGGACCTGCTCATCCACCTGCAGGGCATATGCACAGGGTCCATGGGCAGGGCGCCCTCCCAAAACAGGGCGCCCCCAAGCCCCGGGCTGCACCCACCTGCCCTTCATGCAGGCATTAGTGGAGTGTCGACTGTGTGTGGATGCTGGTTGGCCCAGGGGAGACTACTCCTTATGTCAACATCAAAAAATAAAAGGAATTTAACCAGTTGTCTGCCGAGCAGCTTGGGCTGTATTTCTAAGGGGACAACGTTGACCTTAAGTTTTCGAGCTGCCCACAGCAATGGTGAGAATCACCCAGGACTGTGTCAATCTTCCTTCTGCTGTCCATCAGGGCACATGAGAGGAACCGGCCTGACGGCACCGAACAACTTTAACAGCAGTGCACCTCCTGGCCCACTTTCCCACTTGTGCCCACAGGGGACCAAGGCCCCCAGCCCCTGTGTCCAGCTCCATTTGCTGCCACGGATGCCCCCTCCCCGCCCATGGACGTGGCGGGATCGGGGGTGGTGGGGGGTGGTGGTGGTGCAGGGAACCGACCTCCTTCCTCTCCGTGGCCGACATCCCAAACTGGTAGTGTTCCAGGAGGAAGGGCCACACGGCCTTTCGGATCTCGGGCTGGACGCCTCCGAAGTACACCAGGCGGAGCAGCTCCTGTTCCTCGTAGCTCTGGGGAGCACAGGGAAGGCGGGGTTTGGGCATCAGAAAGCAGGGGCGGGGCAGCAAGTCCCAGAAGTGGAACTTGCCTTTAGCGAGCCTGGTATGAGCCTGCAAAGACGTGTCCCCGGGTGGCCATCCCTGCCTCTCATGTCTCTGCTTCACTGCCCACTGCTTTTAAAATCATATTTCAGATTCTAATGCTCTTCTGTTTAGGAGCCCTGGTCGTGTAGTGGTTATGCGTTGGGCTGCGAACTCCAAGGTCAGCAGTTCGAAATCACCAGCCCACTCTGCGGGAGAAAGATGAGGCTACCTGCTCCTGTCAAGAATTAAAGCCTTGGAAATGGTTTGTTCTAATAATGTGGCATTATATGATACTCACCTTCCCAAGATGATCACTGAAGACAAACATGGGTGCATAAGCAAATGTGGTGAAGTAAGCTGATGGTGTCCAGCTATTAAAAGACCGCCTGGGGCTATAAAGGCTTATAGTCAAACAAGTGGCCATGTAGCAGGGAAGCAACAAAGCACACACAGAAGAAGCACACCGGCCTGTGTGATCATGAGGTGTCGATGGGAAAAGGTATCAGAAGTTCAAAACCAAGCAACCAAATCAATGTAAAGGGGTGGGAATGTAGTGGAGATCCAGAACCCACCTGCAAGTTAATTGCGCAGTCCCTCTCAGAAGGGCCACACGATGGGATGATAAATCCAGGGGGTGATATAGCACTGATAAAGCACATAATTATCCTCTAGTTCTTTAATATTTCCTCTCCTTTACTATTATGGTTTTTATTTATTTTATCTCATTAATTATGTCAGATTTGTGTAGGTTCATTTGTATATATAAGATTGTTTGATACATGAAAGCCAAGACAGATAACCCTTCAGAAATAGCAACAGGAGTAATGGTTCCCTGAGGGAATGGGAAGTGAGGGGGGAGTAGAGGGGGCTACTGTATAACCTTGAGAGGAGCAAACAGCAGAATTGTATGTAGATGGATGTATTGCATGGGCTAAGATGCGGCAAAAAAAAATAAAATAAAATAAGATAAGGGTTCTTAGCGGGGAGGGAGGAGATAAAAGGGAGCGGATAAAAAATTTTTTTTCAAAGCTTTGGAAACCCACAGGGGCCATTCTACCCTTTCCCAGAGGGTCGCTATTTTGAAATGAGCAAACAGTTGTCAATTTCCCAACTGTCCACAAAAAGAGGGCCAATGCTGCACCACTCCACTGGAACACCACCCAAAGTTAAAACAACCAGTTAGTGTGTCTTTAAGGATCTACACAGAAAGATGCTCTGTGTGCATTGTTCACTGAAAAAAAAACAGAAAAAAAACCCAGCATGCAGAATAAATGTGTCTAGGGAAAACCCATTTTTGTATGTGTGGTTTTGTTTTTTTTAAGGCTATCCTAGCTCAATGAAAACAGAGCTCAATCAATTAAGAAATCAATCTGCACAAAACAACTCATGGAATGGGGCTCGCAGTTGGACTACACACTCACATAAACTCATCTCAACAGTGCCTTAAATTCTGTGGCATTGGATAAATTATTGATGTTATCAGTGCAATCGCCTTATAACCTAAGGAGATGATTGATAATGTTTTTCTTTTGGTTTTTGTTTGTTATTGGATTTTTTATGTTTTGTTTACTTGTTGTTGATCTTGTTGGTTCTGGTTTTGTTTATTGTTTTTGTCCATAATAAGAGAGTCACTTATAACCCAAGGCAATCATATGGATTCTGGACGGCCACATAATTCTAGCCTTAATCCAAGAAGAGCTAGTTCTTATAACATACCCTGACTAGACATTCGCCTTCACAAAGAGATCACTGAAGGTAAAGGTACTGCAGCAAAGTGTGGTGAAGAAAGCAGATGGTGCCTGGCTATCACTTGGAATCGTGTCTGGGTCTTGAAGGCTTGTATTCAAACAAGCAGCCATCTAAGTGCGGCATCAACTAAGCAGTCCACACGGAAGAAGCACACCAGCCTGTGTGATCCAAAGATGACAGCAACAAAGCCCAAAAATGATGACGGGAAAAGTCCCAGAGCGTACATGGTGACGCCCAACTTGTAGAAGGTTATGGAGGACTGTGGGGCACAAAATCCCTCTGCAGAGTGTCTGCTTGGATTGGGTTTCTGGCAAATAACTCTAGTCATAGGTGAGGGACTCAAACAGTTTTACTATCAGACAGAAATTACTGTAAACTTGACTATGGTGGATCGAGCCATGGTATATGATACTTGGTCAGTTGACCTCTCTCTTGACCCAACCTGAATTAACTCTGGACTCAAATATTTCTTGATTGTGCCAAGAAAGAAATTTCTTCTCTTGACTTTTAAAATATTTTTGGTGGTTTTTCTTTCTTACCTAATATTTTTATTTTTATATTATTGTTGTTGTTTTCTCTCTATTTCTATTTGTTTTCGGTTTTTTGTTTCTATTAGGTCTCCTAGTTTAGGAAGCACAGAAGGAGTAGAGGCATAGAGACAATAACTGATGAAATGGTTTATCAGAAAGGTGGGGAGAGGAGGGCGGGAAGGGAACTGGGGAGCTATCAGTGGATGCAGGAGGAAGGAGGGAAGAACATTTTTTTAATTGAAAAAAAAATTACTTGAATAACAATGAGTATGAAGAAAAAGAAAAAGTTCTAGAATTGATTGTGGCAAAGGCTGTACAACTCTTCTTGATATGGTTGAATTATTGAATTGTATGTTATGTGGATAAAGTTCCAATAAAACTGTTTAAAACAAAAGTGGGGCTAGCATATGACACAGTGGGTTATGTGTTGGGCTGCTAATGAAAACGTAAGCAGTTTGAACCCATCAGCAGCTCTGAGGGAGAAAGATGGGCTTTTCACTCCCATAAAGTTACTGTCTCAAGCACACAAGGGCAGTTCTACCTGGTCCTACAGGGCCACTACGAGTTGGAATTGACTTGAAGGCAGTGAATTTGGTGTTCTGTTTTGGTCTAGTGGTACTGTCGGCCAAGCAGTGGACTGCCACCCAAAAGGTCGGCAGTTCAAACCCACCAACTGAGGCCTGGGAAGAAAGATGAAGCTGTCCGCTCATGTAAAGATTTATAGCATTGGGAATCCTAGGGAGCAGTTCTACCTTGTCCTATAGGGTTGCTATCAGTCAGAATTGACTCGATGACTGTGTGTGTGTGTGTGTGTGTGTGTGTGCGCGCGTGTGTGCGTGTGTGTGAATGGACCAAAGTTTGAATGAGTTCAGCCACTAACACAGAGGCCAGCGCTTCTAGTCCACTCAGAAGGCCCTTGGAAGAGAGGCTTGGTCTATTACCAAAATTCCAACATTGAAAACCCTAGAGCGCAGTTCCAATCTGTAACACCAGGGGGCGCCACGAAGTGGAATCAACTGACCTCCACAGGCTTGGTTCATTTAAAATCTATAAATTCATATTCTGACTGAATTATTTGGCAGTGTTTTCTCAGAGCTCTTCACGTTGACTCGGATCTAAGAAAAGCTCTCTGCAAAAATCACATTTCCAAGTCTCGGTGGCTAGGAGCCCTGGGGGGTGCCAGCTAAGCCTTGCACTACTGCTAACCACAAGGCCAGCGGCCCAAACCCGTGTGTCTCTCCACGGGAGACCGTTGAGACTGGCTGCTGCTGTAGAGATGTGCAGGCTCAGAAACCCCACCGTAGGGTCCCTGGGCTTCAGAGCAGACTCAATGGCAGCGGAAAGGAAGAGCTCATAATCCCGAAGAATTCATGCATTTGAATTGCAGTGCTGGCGAAGAAGGAACTGGGAAGTACCGTGGACTGCCAGAAGGACAAACCGGTCTGCCTTGGAGGGAGTATGGAGCAGAGTGCTCCTTAGAAGCAAGGAGGGTACTTTGCATGTACTTTGCACATGTTTCAGGAGAGGCCAGTCCCTGGGGAAGGACATCATGCGTGGGAAAGCAGAGGGGCCGCGAGAAAGAGGAAGACTCATGACAAGATGGATTGGCACAGGGGCTGCAATGATGGGTGAGGTGATGCACAACCGGGCAGTGTTTGGGGTCGCTATGAGTCAGAACTCCCTCAGTGACCCCTCAGAGCACCACGCACTTCATATGCTAACAACACTGGTGCACAGGCTAGGGTGACTCGGACTGTCAGGCAGGGCATCATGTTGCCACTGCTTGCACTGTATTTTCGAGTGATAGCTTTACAGTCGGCTGCTGGTCACACCGAGGGGCTGGCATCTCCTAACTGTGTGTAGAAAGTGCCTAAAGGACATTCTGAAAGGCACGTGGCCCCACTGCCTCTTTACCTCATGCTCCAAAATCCAAATCTTACTTCATATCATAACTCAAACACTGCCCTTGGGTGGATTCTGACTCAGGGTGACCCTACAGGGCAGAGTAGAACAGGCTCACAGGGCTTCTAAAGGTGTGATTCTCTCCAGCAGCAGACTGCCCCTCTGTCTCCTGAGAGGTGGCTAGTGGGTTTGAACTGCGGACCTTCTGATGAGCAGCCTAACACTCACCCACTGTGCCACCAAACTCAAATGAAACTCACTGCCATCGAGTCAATTCCAACTCATAGTGACCCCATAGGACAGGGTGGAACTGGCCCTGTGGGTTTCTAAGACTGTCACTCTTTTCAGGAGTAGAAAACCTCATCTTTCTCCCTTGGAGTGGCTAGTGGTTTCAAACTGCTGACCTTGGGGTGCACAGCCACTTTGGGGATTCTAACCACTATGCCACCAGGGCCCCTTTACTCATCCATAGCTACATTAATATGGGAGCAGCTGTTAGTTGCTGTTGGGGTGACAAGATGGGCTCCCGGTGGCCCCCAGCCCCCCAGGAAGAGGTAGGCCCCACCCAGCCACCTTACTGTGCTGTCCTTCAGGTATTGCTCCCAGATTCCTGCCGTCAGCCCATGTCCAGCGTCGCAGGGCAAGTTGGGGGACACAATCCTGTGGTTGACCAGGGCGGACAAGTGGGTCCTGACGGTAGACAGGTGTCTGCAGTAGGCCAGCCCTGCAGGGGGTGTACGTGGGGAGAGACTTTAGTCCCCTGACATAGAGCCTCTTGCCTGGGGTCCCTACAGTTGCACTCCTATTGAAATTCCAGCACCCCACAGGCGTTCACAGACAGGAAGCTGAGGCTGGGGGGGGGGATGGCAGGGGTGGCCACGTGCAAGTTTGCCTCGTGGTTCTAGGACCCTCGAGAAAGGGAAGTCCTGCTACCTTTCTCTGCTTGGCCAGGGCACAGCCACCTTTTCAACAGGACGCCAGAGCATTTCAGGGGCCCCAGGCTAGAGGAGGCAGAGAAAGGGTAGGCAAGGGAGGCTGGCTCAGTGCCCCAGGCCACTCTGACTGGTGATAAGGTCTCTTGAGACCCCACCCTAACTGCAGCATCAAAAATGAGCCTGGCAAGTCAGTACCCAGGATAGAGGCCAAAGGCACCCTGTGACTACCAAAGATGGCCCTGTACCCTGTCCCACCCCAGGCTTAACACTTGGCACCGAAGACCCCAAAACCTCAACCCACTGTGGAGAGCGACCCTTCAGGACAGAGAAGAACTTCTCCCAAGCTCCTGAGGCTGTTCATGTGACCAAGCGAGCAGCCTCATCTTTAGCCCACAGGGCAGATCTGTGGTTGTACTGCAGATCTGTGGCTAGCGGTCCAATGCTGAGCCTGCTGTATCACCAGATACAGAGGGACCGAACTGTTTCCTGAGGTTTAAGAGACTGCCATTCAATAGCTGTCATATTAAGAAGGCTTGTGCATCAGAGACTGTCAATCTTTATAGGTGCGGCAGCCTCATCTTTCTCTTACAGAGTGTCAGGTGGGTTTGAAACGCTGATCTTTTGGTTAGCAGCCCACTGCACTCCCAGGGATCCTGTGCTGGCAGAGAGTCTCAAAACTCTCCACTCATTGCCATTGATTCTGACTCACAGAGCAGCCCTGATGGCACAGTGATTACGAGTTGGGCTACAAGCAGCAAGCCAAACAGTTTGAAACCACCGGCCTCCTACGAGGGAGAAAGATGAGGCTTTCTGCTGCTGGACAGTTACAGTCTTGGAAGGGTCACTTCCAAGGGTCACTTCTACCTGTCCTATAGAGTGCTATGAATCAGCACATAGAAGCCACTCAGCAAATGCTCCCAGGAACCCGTCCGGGCCCAGCAGGGTAATACGCACATCCATAGAAGGCTCTGGAGAGGATCTGGTACTTCATGTTGTCACAGAGGAGCTTCAAGGGAGCTCTACAGGGGGAGGAAAAGGGGATGTTTAGGACACAGACATGTCCACTCTGTCCCAGCAGCCAGAACCAGAGGGCAGAGAAAGCCAGCCAGTCAGGCTGCTCGGCCCTGCCTGTGTCAACCCGATGACCAGCTACAGCTCAGGCTGCTGTGGCTCACTGGGTTTCACAATTGATTTTTAGTAGACTTTCTGTCCGTTCTTCCTGGTCTGTCTTGATTTTCCTTTGGAGAAACACCCCTTCCTCAACTCTGTCTTTGTGGCTGTAGTGAAACCCACTACCCCGTACATGACCCAGACTGGAATCATGGTGATTGGGCCAGGGTGGTCATGTGACCCAACCGCGAGCCAATTTTAAGATGCATTTGTGGGACTTTGGTTGGCACGATTCAGAAAGATTTCTCTCTCTTTCTTCTCTCTTTAAGTTTTTAAGCCAGTGGACAATAGCTGCTGAGGGGGTCTTCTTTGTCACTGCCTAGGACAGGCCTACCAGAGAATTAAGCTATGGCAGGGACCGAGAGCTTGAGACACGGAGATTTCTACTTTGGGTTTCTGGATCCAGCCATGCCGGAAGCTACCATGTCTGTGGATTTACTATATTAACGAAATTTCTATCTTTCTCCCTTCTTTCTTTTCTTCCCTCCCTTATTCCTTTTTCTTCTACTTTTCTTCCTCTTTTACAAATATCAGTTTTTTTAAAAAATAATTTTATTGGGGGCTCGTATACATCCATCCATTGTGTCAAGCACTGTTGTACATTTGTTGCCATCATCATTTTCAAAACACTTTCGTTCTACTTGAGCACTTGGTATCAGCTCATTTCCCCCCACCCCTCATGAACCCTTGATAATTTATTTATCTTTTTTTTTTTAATGTCTTACACTGACTGATGTCTCCCTTTACCTATTTTTCTGTTGTCCATCACACTGGGAGGGGGTTATATGTAGATCATTGTGATTGGTTCCCCCTTTCTGCCCCCACCTTCCCCTTCCCCTCCTGGTATCGCTACTCTCATTATTCATCCTGAGAGGTTTATCTGCCCTGGATTCCCTGTGTTTCCAGCTCTGCTCTGTACCCGTGTATATGCTTGGGTCTAGATGGATTTGTAAGGTGGAATTGGGGTCATGATAGTGATGGGGAGGAAGCATTAAAGAACTAGAGGAAAGTTGTATGTTTCACCAGTGCTATACTTCACCCTGACTGACTTATCTCTTCCTTATGACCCTTCTGTAAGGGGATGTCCAATCGTCTACAGATGGACTTTGGGTCTCCACTCTACACTTTTCCTCATTCACATTGATATGATTTTTTGTTTTGGGTCTTTGGTGCCTGATACTGATCCCATCGACACCTCATGATCACACAGGCTGGTGTGCTTCTTCCATGTGGGCTTTGTTGCTTCTCAGCTAGATGGCTGCTTGATTATCTTCAAGCCTTTAAGATCCCAGATGCTCTATCTTTTGATAGCCGGGCACCATCAGCTATCTTCACCACATTTGCTTATGCACCTGCTTTGTCTTCAGGGATTGTGTCGGGAAGGTGAGCATCAAGGAATGCCAGTTTAATAGAACAAAGTGTTCTTGCATTGAGGGAGTACTTGAGTAGAGGCCATAATCAGTTTTAACTATTTTTTTTTTAAGTTTATAGAAAGAGTTCTGAACCAAGTGAAACACAAGTTTTCAAGCAAACCCAGATGAAGAAAACTGGGATTCGGAGTCCAGTGGTTAGAATCATCGCCCCCTTGAGAACCAAGAGGCAGCACTGGGCTAAGGACAGAGTTGAGAAGGGTGAGGAAAGCAAGAATGGAATGGGGAATGCAGGGCAGAAGGGGGCTCAGTGACGGTATACTGAGGGCATGGTCATGGGTGAAGCAAAAGAAATCGGGATGCTTCACAGCCTCTCCTGGGATGAGCGGCTTTGAGAAAAGTTTTGGGAAAGAAGAGAAAGGAGTTAGGGACCCAGAGTTGCTGGAGGAAACAAGGACCAATGAAGGAAATGCTGGCCACTCATACAGAGACAGAATCGTGGGAGAGTTGCATGTTTATTTCTAACACATCGCAGGGACAGCTAAGAAAGCCCAGAGCTGGGCTGAGGCCATTTGATTCTGCATGTGGAGGCATTAGAAAGCACCACCCTAAGACCAGAAGGACCAGATGATGCCCGGCCGTCCCTGCCAACTGCTCTGAAAAGGATCACATGAGAAAGCCATGGACAGAGTGGGAGAAAAATGTGGAAATAAATTCAAAATCATGAAGAAAAAAAAGACCAGGCTTGTTCATTGGCTAGGGACAGGTGGAACTCCCAAGATTATGACCCTTAGTCTCCCCTCAGGCTTAAGAATGAACTTGATTTTCAGCCAAACAACAAACAAGAAGAACAGTAACACTCAGGAGGCCTGAACTCCCTCAGATGGCCCACCACTGGAGAGCCATCCACAGCGTGGCCCTGACTCCAGACAAAGCTCAGAGCACTAGAAGGAGGGGGGTGGAAACAGAAAACACAGGGAGGAAATGGGATGTTCCACGGGAGGGAATGCCATCAATGAGATGAAATAAAATGTGGATGGATTGCTGAGTGGAAAACTGGTTTGTTCCGGCTACCTTCACCCCAGTCACAAATCAAGTTGTTTGTTTGTTTTGTTTTTAATTAAAGCGCCCTCTCCCATTTTGTGACCCCAGGATGATGAGGCCCAGGTTTGCCCGGGGTTACCTAAGAGCATCCTACTGATTGACAGCTGTCCTGCAGTGGATCAGGCTCTCTCTGCAAGGTGGTGAGCTCCCCATCACTAAAGGTGTGTCAGCAGATGCTATAAGGGAATATGGATTTAGAGCAGTGTTTCTCAATGATTCAAGAGTCACTTGGGGATTCTCCAACACATAGTTTCTTTGGCCCTACATCCACCTATTCAGTCAAGACCTCTAGGGTTGTGGGGTGAGGCCAAGGGATTAGCATGATCCACTTTCTCTGCCAGGTCATCCTGATGAACAAGTTCAAGACACTCTGGTTAGATCAACACTTCCCCAGCATAAACAGGGAACATGAGTTTGTTAAATGAGGGACTGATAATCTGTCCAAATGATGCTGCTAGTCCCTGAGCCACACACTGAGGAGCCAGGAGTTAGATGACTTTGAACATTGGATGCTGACCTCCACTCGGTCCTCCTACAGCCTGAGACTGGACCACCCACCCACCGGCAGTGAGAGACAAGGAAGGCTGCCATCCATTCTCTCAGGCCAGGCTGGGCCACAGGGAGCCACAACAAGACTCAGGGATTGACTGAAGAGTTTCACGTGGACAAAGGAGAGACGTGAGCTGAGACTTCCTACATGATACAGTAAAAAGCGCCCTTCGGGGTGCACAGCATCCATGAAGACAGCAGTCAAGAGTCCCTGGGTTCTCCATGAGTCATGGATTGCCATGACTCTACACCAACTCAATGACCATGAGCTGGGTTTGGCTGACGGAGCGTCCATCAAGTGCCAGGTTACCATGTGCTAGCCACTCCCCATGCCTCCACCCTCCCACCCATTCTTACGACAGCTGAGCAAGGTGGGCATTATTGTTGCAAAGGTTTGGTATCACTGAGTTGGTTCCAACTCATAGCGACCTTGTGCACAACAGAAGGAAATGCTGCCCAGTCCTGGGCCACCCTCACCATCATTCCTGTGTTTGAGTCCACAATGGCAGCCATGGTCTCAACCCATTTCCTTGAAGGTCTTCTTTTTCATGCACCTCTGCTTCACCAAGCCTAATGTCCTTCTCCAGGACTGGCTCCTTCTGATGCCATGTCCAAAGTACATGAAGTCTTGCCATCCTCGATCCTAAGGAGGATCCTGTCTTCTCCAGGACAGACCTCTTTGTTCTTCTGGCCGATCGTGGCATTGCCAGTATTCTGCACCAGCTTCATCATTCAAATGCATCGATTCTTCTTCGGTCTTTTTATTCCATGTCCAACTTTCATAGGCATGGCAGGTGGCTGAGAAGCCCATGGCTTGGGTCAGGCACACCTTAGTCCTCAAGGTGAGATATTTGCTCTTGAACATGTTAAAAAGGACTTGTGCAGTGGGCTCGCCCAGTATAACACGTCATTTGATTTCCTGACTGTTGCTTCCGTGGGTGTTGATTGTGGATGCAAGTAAAATGATATCTTTGGTAACTCTGAAGTAGGCACCATTTCCCCGTTGAGTGGAGGAGCAAACTGAGGCAGGGGTGGCTGTCAGGAATATTTCCAGTTTCTGCCTCATGTGGGTGGGGCCAATGAGTTGTCAGTAGAAATGAGACGTGCCACTTTGGGGCTGCAGCACTTCATGGATGCCTCAAGTCCCTCCTGAGCTACCTCCTTGCTGTCACCATGACTGGTAACGTTCATCTGGTGGCTGCTCAGTGGCCAGGACGGAGCAGAGCTCCAGGGGGCCCAGACATCATCAACAAGCCTCGGGTGCACTGAAGCCACTGGTCCTATAGGGCTGTGTGTTACTGCATGGCAGAGCCTCGTGTCCCCTGACTGACCTGCAAACAGGACTTTGAAAGGGCAGGATAGACACTGGATCTGGGGAGACATGGGCACCCACAAGTCCTGACTAAGCCCTCGGATCCCTCCATCCACAGCTGGTCCCACATACCGCTCATGGTTACAGCCATTGGAGCCTCCATCAGCCAAGCCACTCTGGCAACAGGAGGAGCAGGAAGACTTCCGAGGGCTGGGTTGCCATAGTGAGGGCAGGTTGTTCACGGAGACGTCCATCAGGTCCTGCGGGACTACGTAGGGAGGACAGGGGCCGAAGATAGAATCTGAGTAAGCTCGGGTGGGCAGCAGGATCCTCAACCCAGAGCAAGTAGCTCCCCGCCCCACCCCCCTCCACCCGAAGCAACACAGGGACAGGAAAATCCTCAAAGGTGACAGTAGGAAACTGTGCCCCCCGAAATAATTGGACCCCAGACCTTGAGCCCACCGATCACGGACAGCCACCACCAAGGTTGAGGGTCTCAGAAGAGAGAGGGAAGGACACTGAGAGGCTAGAATCCAGACACAGGCCCCATCCCAGAGGAGGAGGCCACACCTCATTACAGTTGTCATCTGTGCGTCCTAGAGGGGAGAATCTCCTAGGGGCCTCTTGGCCTCAAGTCCCCAGAGAGAGGATGAATGGGGAGCTGCTGGTGGGGGTGGTGAGGTGCTGGCTGGAAGCCAGCCTCAACAGGTGAGGCAGGATACAGCTCTGGTCCTCGGGCCCTCCATCATGCAGGTGCAGGGGTGTGTCCTGGGAACTTTGTGTGGTCTTGTGCTAGAGGTCATATGCCCACTCCCTAGGCCAGAGCTTGACGTAAACCTCCTGAGGATGGAGTCCCCATGTCCATATGTGTGAATGCATGTACACGCAACACACACATGCACACAGAAAGGCGTGCACACACAGGTACACACACATGCACGCGCATGTGTACAAACACATGCATATGCAAGCACCCATGTATACACATGTACAGAGATGCACAGACATGGCTCTATCTACATGCAGACACACTCGGGTACATACATATATACACATACGCATACACACAGGATGGCTTCAAAAAGTTCATGGATGGGCTGTGCAACTATGTAGATTATGTTTTCTGGCTGTGTATTATATTCCACAAATGAAAGGGGAAATTTACACACGTAACAAGATAAACAACGTTTTGGTTTATTTTTGTTTTACAAAGAGAGAGAGAAGAGG